CCTTTTTTGTTATTGGGCATTAGGTTAGGCCAACTCAGGTTGAAGATATTTGCAATTGTCCCTTTGTTTCAAAATTCAAACAGTCTACGTGTGCGGTGTGCCCACTGCATTAGGATCGAGTTCAATTTTCAGACGGGAGGGGTCCCAGGAAACAGACATTGTCTCGTCTATTTTTATTTTATTTTTTTTAATTTTAATTACATAATAAAAAATAATCATCTATCATATTTTATTTCACTCCACCCGTATATCATACGATTCAAATTTAAAACGTTTTACTTTTAACAGAAAAAAATAACCACTTAATTATTTAAATTGTTAACAATCTATTTCTATCTTAAATTTGAACTAATGCGTTTGACGGAATTTATTTGTATATAAAATTTTAATTATTTATTATTTATTTTTAAAATTAAAATTTATATTATGATTTTTAAAATTAAAAAATAATTATATTTAATAAATATCAGTGAATAAAATAATTAGATATCAATGAAGATTTACTCTATACATGTATAAAAATAAAAGGTCATTAATTCTTTAATAAAAGTGTTGAAAATGGAGCTGGGTTGAGGTCAATATTACAAATATCTAGAATAACCAAACAAACACTAACTTCTTTAAAGATTAAGAAAAAAGTGACAAAGATGATATCTTTTTTGGGGTAGAGTTTGAGGAGGAGGATATGTAATTACCATCCCTAATAAAAGAGAAAGAGAATGATAATAACAGGGAAGTTTGGTGTTGAATAATATATAAATAGGTCAAAACAAAAATACTAAAAAAATAAAAAAGGTCAAAACAGTGCATGCGGGGCTAATACAATTGCAATTATAGTCACTTATTTATTTTATTTTTTTTTGAACATTTTGATACGGGGCGGGTTCGAAACCTGTCCAGGGAGGGGGGAATGCACCTAGCAAGCTGGCTAATGCCAATGGGCGGGCTAATACAATTGCAATTATAGTCACTTATTATTTTCTTATAATCACTTAAAAATTATTTAATTTATTTGATATTTTATAATTTTTAAAATAATTTATAATAGAAACTCACTATAACATCACAATCATTAAAACAAAAAGATCCCTAATGGTATTAACCAGTTAACCGGTGCATTTTCTCCTCCCTTGAGCGGGTTTTAAATCCGTCCCTTGTCAAAATGTTACAAAAAATAAATGAAAGAATGAAAAGGGAGAATTTTTCTCTCATTCTTTTTATTTTTTTAACATATTGTAATTATTTATAAATTAATTAAGAAATAACAATTTTAATTTTCGTAAAATTCAAATGTGAAACCCATAAAAAGTAAAGAATCCTAACCCATGAATCTATGTGCATTGTGGTTTGAATGGGCCTCCAGAGAGCAGAGGACATCTCGGCCGTCGATCGGCTGGCACTCCTAATCCTCTTGGAAA